CAGGCGTGTTCAGTGTATCTTAAGTTCATGATCCAATTGTGGGTACCCAGAGACCCGTTCTTGCAGACAGAGGGAGCCCGAGAGTTACAAGCTGATGTGGGTTAGTGTTCTACGGCGGAGGTTTCGAGCCCGTTTGTTCTTTATTGGCCGAATCAGAGCTTGTTGAGTGGCTCAAAGGAGGCTTAGTTCTTCAATCGCCGTCTGAGGCGATAATAACGTGGCGGGCAACTTCCAAGAGAAGAGCTGGAAGAAGAGCCTGAAATTTTTAAGATTTCGCTCCCCCTGAAGCGCTTCAAAGTCCTGAAAAGGTGACAGAAACCAGGCCCTATCGCAGTGCCGACGTTATTAGAAGAAACAAAAGCACAAATCTGGTCCCCGGAACTCCAGCTTTGCCCGCCCCGTTTTCTCTGGGTGTGGCAGCAGCCCGCCGGACTGCCGCAGTCAACATAGCTGAAGCCTGACTCAAAGCGGGGCCGAGATTCCCGAGAAGGCCACTGGGTTCCTCCCTCGCAGAGGAGACTCTTAAAGGCGCCGGGAATTGCCTCCCATTCGGGGCTGCGCTTGGATGGATGGCCCCGCCGTCTTCTCCTTGGACCCGCTGAGCGTCCGGGAAACCGCAAAATGCGAAGAGGCGAATCTCATGCGCACAAGTTTTACTTTGCTGAGTTTAAATCCACTCTAGCCGCATTAATAGCGTCCCAAGACTCTGCGATTCGAACCACCGTCAACCTAACAGCTGAATAATTGTTAATAATGATTAATTACGGAATGTTAATGAGTCACAACTCATTATATCATATTATCATTATATTATCATTATATTATCACAATTCATTATATCATTATATTATCTCACTGTCCTAATGAACACCAAATATTGTCCACTCTGCTCCCCCCCCAGCAAAAAGACATTCTCAAATCTGTACCAGACACTTAAAAGAAACAAAAACTGTGAGAGATGCAGCTACAATGCTAGCATTAAAAAAAAGGCGGTAATTGTTAAACCATGAGAAAATAACTTCATATTTTGGTGGTGACTAAAATAAACTTAAAAAGAAAAAAAATGGGAAAAACTAGTTAAAGAAAAAGATTTATATACTAGCTATGTAATGTCAATATAGAATTGATGTTTCACATATCCTTAAGTCTATTAAATCTAGATCACATTGACAAATATCACTTCATCTTCATACATTAGGATATAAAGATTTTCAAAAGTAGATAATAGATTCATGAGGTATCAAAGAGTCTAACTCAGTGGTGGCGAACCTATGGCACGGGTGCCAGAGGCGGCACTCAGAGCCCTCTCTTTGGGCATGCATGCCATCACCCCAGTTCTAGGTCTTCAGCTGGGTTTTATAAAACCTTTTCGTTTTAGGCCTCCGCTGCCGAGTGCAAAAAAAAGTTCAATCAGTCAATTTCAACTTCTTGCGGGAAAAAAAAATCTTGCAAAGTTGGAATTGATTGATTGAACTTTTTAGTCCCACCCAGTCTGCTGTTACCACCACAGCCATGCCCACCCAATGGGCCACGCCCACCCAATGGACCACACCCACCCAATGGGCCACACCTACCCGGCACCTGACGATGCATAAGTGGGTTTTGGGTTGCAGTTTGGACACTCGGTCTCTAAAAGGTTCGCCATCACTGGTCTAACAACTTTCCATTCACACAAGATTATTCTCTTTATTAAGGGTCCAAAGATCTAAATGCCAGATTGTGTGGCTACAAAGCCTTTTCTCCAATTTCACATGAAACAATGGAATTGTGATGTTTCGGAATCCTTTGGTCATTCGCATTGACTTGTCCTCAGTATACTTGTGTATAAGCCTAGCATTGCCAGTGAACTTTATTTTCAAAGGAAGTCATATTTTTAGATACGCACTGTTGCTGTTAAAAGTATGTTGGCTCCAACAATGGAGGTTTTTAAGAAGAGATTGGACAACCATTTGTCTGAAATGATATAGGGTTTCCTGCTTGAGCAGGGGGTTGGACTAGAAGACCTTCAAGGTGCCTTCCAACAGTTACTCTGTTAAGAAACAATATATTCATACAGCATATTCACATATGAAGTAATGATTTGTTTGATCCAGAATTAAGGACTAATGCAGAACATGAAATCCAGTTGGGCAGATCTGCAACCACCTCCCTTCAGCCAGCCAGGTCTCATGGATACATGCCAAGTCTGTCAACTCATCCATAATTAAATCATGAACAAGACTAATGCATGTACTTTCATGGTGTTTCTATAATCTCCATATCACATGTGTATGGGTGGAGTTTTGCGATACTATCAGCGGTTTTAGCTTGATTAAAAGCAGTTGGATTTTGAAGCACATAGTTCTGAAAATAAATGACTGCCATGTCTGATTTGCTATTTTTGCAATTTATGTACTCAATATATTTTAAGGGCTTAAGCTTTAGGTGAGTTTAAACAAACAGGGAGGTAGAGTTTCCAAGCCAATCTCACTCAGCTACATTCCTTGGGGTTTATTTTCCTAATCGTGTAACTAAGCAGGTCTTCTCATCACCCTTGGATATGTAAAATGTCCACAGACAAGTCACCTCTGCAAGCACTAGCTTTCCATGACTGATAAAGCAGACTTCCTTTAAATTTTTTTCAATTCACTGAAGATACACATACAGACATTTGGTACATGCAATAGCAATAACACATAATTTGCAAATTCTCCTGAGGTGGGAACAATAGAAAAGCAAGGAGACTAGTGTAGTCATCCCAAAGACAAGATAAAAGGTAAAGTCTTCTTTGAACCAAGCTAATCTGGTGACTTTATGGACATATCTTGGCCTTAGTACACTTCTACATTCTTCTAGGTTTCTTTTTAACCACCCAATCTATGGCATAGCCCTAGCATTCATTATCTCCCATGCAAATACTTGTATTTGCTTATTATCCCTGCTTAGTTTCAGTCCAGACAAAATCAGTCAAGTGTTGCATTTGCTTATGTTAATAAGCAGGAACAAGGAACACAACTAAAATTTTGCATTCCAATAAGAGCCAAAATAGGTAGAAAAGAATAGAAAACTTGAGACTCTCCCTTGGGCCACATTGGATCATTTACTTTGTATATCTGGAGCAGTGTCCTATATCAAAGGATAATGATATACGTATCCTTGAGCCACACTGGAAGACGAGTATAAAACGAAGTTGCAGAAATGATGAAGCTGATCAGTTTGGTCAAAGAAAACATGACAAATACTTTTTGGAAAGACTGGAATCTTTACATAGACATTTTGTTGAAAGAAAAAAAAGATTAAAAGGTGGGTTTTGGATTTGGGCATTTAAAAAGAGAAGGGGGTAAAGGGAGAAAAATAAGATGGTAGCTATTTGATAGAAAGGTGGAAGACGTAATTGTTTTCTTTTTCTCCTCATTTGTCCCCTTTTTTTATTATTTTTGATTTCTTTTTGTTTTGAATACTTTTACTGTTTCAAAAAAATTCTAATTAAAAAAGATATAGCCATTTTTTTCCGTTCCAAAGTTGCTTTTGTGCAAAGTATTTAAGCATTGCATGAATCAATGACTTTTGAACAGTATTCATATCACATCATAGACACACCCAAACGAAAATGCTTCCTTTCTAAAGGCCCGGAACATCTGTTCAAGCAAACAATGAAGCATTTTGGCTAAAAGGGAGTTGGCTGGCTATTTGTCCTCCTTTGAATGAAGTTGGTACACCTGCCTGTAAGAAATATGTTGGACTGGATGCAGTTCCACCCTCTTGTCCTGAATCAGAGTTGGCAATCTGCAAACCAACCCCTTACCTTTGTGACTGAAGCTCTCCACACCACTATTGTTGATGATCAGCAAGATGATTTCTCACTATTCTGAAGCAGAAAACACACCTGTACGCCAGGCATAATGCAAATGCTAAAGTAGGCTTGCCATACTTCAGAAAAACAAAGACACCCTCCTAATGTAAAAAAAAAAAAAAAAACTTGGGCAGGAGAATGAAATCCAAACCTTGCTCACTGTCCATCTATGTATGGATTTTGGTAGACTAGAATAGACTACAATAGAATAGAATAGAATAGAACACTACATAAATATGACATACATACATACATACATACATACATACATACATAATTATGCACATACCCACATATATGACACAGAGAAACAACAGTCTAGTTCGGCTTATGTATATGGGTGCATGGTGAGAAAAACGAACCTTGTGAATTTACCAGACGGATGGCATAGGGAACAAAGCTATTACAGAATCCGGTAGTCCTGCTAGGAATATTTGGAAACCTCCTCCCAGAGGAGAGCAACCGAAACAGACCGTAAAGTGGGGCATGTGGGGTCTGTAACAATGCTTTGAGCTCTAAGCACATAGCGCAAATGTTAAGGACTCCAACTCTTGGAGACCAAAAGGTGATCCCTCTCCCTCTCAAAAGAGAAGCGCTGGTGATTTGGGCAGAAATGAGGAAACTCTGAGGGCAAATTTTCAGCACGTTTAATCATCCCCTTCTATCACCTAGGACAGGGGTAGGCAACCTCGGCTCTTTTATGACTCATGGACTTCAACTCCCAGAATTCCCGAGTCAGCATAGTTGACTCGGGAATTCTGGGAGTTGAAGTCCATGAGTCATAAAAGAGCCGAGGTTGCCTCGGGAATTCTGGGAGTTGAAGTCCATGAGTCATAAAAGAGCCGAGGTTGCCTCGGGAATTCTGGGAGTTGAAGTCCATGAGTCATAAAAGAGCCGAGGTTGCCTACCCCTGACCTAGGATGAACGTGGCCCCAAGATCAATCAGTAGGTGCCGATTTACGGGGTTGTACAGCGAAAGGGGCAGTCGGGGCGTCTGGTACTGTCCGGTACCAATTTTGCAGCAGAGAAGAGACCTTGCACTCCGCGTGAACTATCGCAGCCGGCCACGGCGGCGGCGCCTTTAAATTCCCCGCCCCCGCCCAAGCCCCAGTGGGCCCGCCCGCACATTCTCAGCCAGCTAAACCCCACCTTCGTTAGCCCGGAACTTGGAAGGGCAGCTGCTGCGCTTAAATTCGGAGGCGATGTGCAGGGCGTAGGGAGGGGTTCCGAGGAGCAGAATTGTGGCCTTGCGGAAGCCGGCGTAAGTAGAGTCCAGCGAGCGGCCGTTCTACACAATCCGATTAAGGCTTGGTTTCATGCGGGGGTCGGTGGGAGGGCAGTTGCAGATTCTAGCGCTTGCTCCGCTCCGCTCTTTTTTTTTTTTTTTGCTACAGGGCCTCGAGGTATCGGCTGGGCCAAGTGCCCTGCCCTGATTGAGCGGAGGCTTCCGCTTTACCCCAGGACTGGTTAGCCGCAGAATAATCTTGGTAGCCCCCATGTGGGCAGCTGGCCAGAGTTGGTCGCCACGCAGATCGTCACCCGACTGCCTCATAGCCGGGTGCCCGGGATTGCGGGCGCGCCTTCCGGCCCAAATTAAGGCTCTAAGAGTCGAGGAACTGAGTAATGCAGCTCAGTCAGTCCTTCCATGAAAGGTGCGCTCGCGGTGTTTTATGTAGGCGTAGGGATGATCTCTTAACCGGGATTACTATCCGTGACTCTTAGTCTGTGTAGCTGGAAGCTGACTGAGTGGCTGCCCGATTAGCAAGTAACACTCCTGGAAGGCCTAACCGGGAATAAGCAGGAGTTGCCTTGAGCTTTCCAAGAGGGGGAAGCTTTTTTTAAAAGTTATATCGGTCACAACGCCACCCCTGATTTGAGATTTGCTTCAGAGTCAGCCCTGTCAGTTTAGCAATGCAGCAGTGTCTTTTGCCTGCTCTTCTCTCTGCAGTATTTGTGTGATGGAAACTTGGGTTGGCTGTGCAAAAGGATGGGAGGCCAGCTTGGGACCTGTACCCGCTTGCAGATGATGATGTTCTGGATTCTTTCGAAAAAGGTCTTGGAGGGAAACTTCTTTTTACGCTGCTCCTCAAAATACTGACTTGTACAGATGGATTAATGTAGCCATTTCCAAGTTGGCTTTTTCTGTTATATGCTGAGCCTGCAACTCCAAATTCTTGGCCACTATCGTGCAAGCCTAGCTCATCCAGAGGCTGCCAGGGTGGGAAAAAAATGGTTTTGCATATAAGCCTGTTTGATTTGTTTTCTTAATTTATTGGGACGCTTTTCCCCCCCTGCACTCATTGTCCTACAATGAGGGCAGTTGTGGATACAGTAGAATTTATGGTCTATTCATGTTATACTAATTCCTCTCCTGTATCACCACATTCTGTAGATGGATGCTTTGTTCTTTGTTGATAGACTAGCAATTTTGCAAGATTAAATTTTTAAGCAGTTTTCTCTTACTATCACTTCTGCTTCCCCATCCTTTCAAAGGATCCTTTCAATTTTACTCAAAATGCCAAGAAAGAGCAAAAATTGCTGCTCTAACTCGCATGCTATAGACTTTGCAGTAACCAATATTCTTTCATCTCCAATCCATAGCAGAGCAAAACCTATTTTGATCTGCTGTTTTTTTTACAATGGATGATGTTAAGGTTTTCAATGTTAAAGTTTTCAATATTGTAAGCTGCCCAGATACAAGATGGATACAAGATGAGTGGCAGATAAATTCTATAAATACATAAGTCAGTTTTTATACATACAGAACACCCATCCATTTCCTTAATGTTTTGTATTATAGGCTATTTGCAAAAAAAGTTTCAGGAATTTCTATGACAGGTAACAAAAAAAATGGAAAAGCATGGCACGAACAAGACACAAGGTGTGGTGAGGCAGTGATTCCTGCAAATGAGGCAAATAACTGCCCATATGCCACATGGAGTGGCAACCTTTTTTTTTTTTAAAGGTCCAGTTCTGTAATGATTTGAAGTCAGAAATAAATCTGCTAAACTCCCAGAAACAGCTAACTCTGTGTGATCTCAGTTGTCTAGAACAGTTTCTGAGTTGGCACAGTATTCTTGTACGGAAATGCCCATAATACGCATGTGTCGCCTTATGGTCTGGATTGCAGATCTTCATTTCCATAAAGTGTACTATAAATCTTCCTGATGGGTACAATCTGTTGGCTTGGTTGCAACTATATTTCTTTCATCGGTAGATGCCTTTGTTCCTATCTATGAACTCTAGCTTAGGAATACCTATTAGCCAAAATATGCTTCGTGTAACTTACCACTTCCTTGCTGAAAAGACTCATTCTGACCCGGAGCGTGGAAAGAAACTAAAAGATTAGAGTAAGATGGAAGGTAAAGCAGCTACACCATACCTCTGTGTATCTGTGGGATGGTAGAGTTGGATGGTTATTTTAATGTCATTTGCTCACCGATCAAGGTGAGTCCTGATTTAATCTGTTTGCTGTTCTAATTCTGGGATGACTTCCAGATTTAAAGTGAAGCAATAACATTAATGAGAATGAGATGGAGGCTCTAGACTTACATACAGAGAGAAATCTGTCTTTACTGTCTACCTCCCGGGCCAATTTCTTTGCCAAGAAAATAGAAGTACTATATTCAAAGTAGGCTATGCAGTTCGATTGTTGCATTTATAATATTGCTTCCCCCCCCCCCCAGTGGCCCATATAGAATTCTTTATTGGCCAAGTGTGATTGGACACACAAGGAATTTGTCTCCGGTGTATCAGCTCTCAGTATACATACAAGCAACAAGTGATAAATCATGATCATAATCATAAAATACAATCATCATAAATCATAAGATACAACATTCAAGTGATAGTCATAGGATACTAAATAAGCAATCAATATAATTTATATTCAGGTTTCTCGTTTTTCCTTTTTCTCACTGATTTTTTAGTTCTTGGGAGTGATAAGAATGGTAATAATAGGCAGAAGAGAAATTGAGATTAACAACAGGCTTCTTAAGATGTCAGCCTGCTCCATTCGGATTCCTCCCAGATATGCTGGAACTATCAACTGCCAGAAATTGTAGCCCAGGGGTGTCAAACTCGCAACATGACGTGTCGCGACGTATTGCAACTTTTTTTCCATTGCCGGCAATGGGGTGGGTGCGGTTTTGGCATGAGGCATCCAGCCCATGGGCCAGCAGTTTGACACCCCTGTTCTAGCCAGTGTGGTTAGAGTCCTCAATCAGGCCATTTTGGCTGTGAAGCAGTAGTAGAAAAAGTAAGCAACAGCTTGTGTTGTACTATAGAAGGTACCTGCTATTAATCCTAAAAGTTGGCAGGGATCCAAGACCATTGCAAGACCTCAGAGTGATACCAGAGGCACCCAAGACATTTAGCTAGAGGAGAAATGAACGGGATGGGAAAGACCAAGAATTTGATTGATTGACTGACTGACTGAATAATTGATTGATTTTATTTCATTTGTAGGGCCACTCCTCTTACAATAGTGACTCTGGGTAACTAACACCACTTTAAATACCCAGATACAAATAACAAAGTAAAGTAACAAAATAACCTAGTAAAAAGGCATAAAAGAATACCACAGGTCAAGTCCACCAGCAGTAAGTTAAGAAAGTCTCGCAGGCTCAACTAATTCTGATGCCATTCTTGGAAAATAGCCAGGTTTTAGAGGCTTTCAGGGGACTACTGAATTGGGGCCAACCTCATTCCAAATAGTAAGGTATTCCAAAGGACAGGGGCTATAACAGATTTTTCTCAGGCAGATGAATTTTACCTAGCTGGTTTTAATTTAGCTTATGTAACGAAGTTAACACTAAGTAATCAGATAATCAATACTCTTTGGCACAAATATGACTTTTAGGTCGTAGGTGATATAGGTTGCCTATCTAAACAGTTTGTTTAGTTTATAGCCTTGGTGAGGGGTTGTTTACTTATGAGCTATAGAACCTTTGTCATAAGTGACAAACAGCACAAACTTGATTTCCCAAGGCAATACTGTAAGGCCATAATACAAGTAATAATCCTCAACTTACAACCATAATTGAGCCCAAAGTTTCCATTGCTAACCAAGACAGTGGTTAAGTGAGCTGCCTTTTTTACGACCTTTTTGCCACCGTTGTTAAGCAAATCATTGCAGTTGTTAAATAAATCATACTGTTAAGTGAATCTTGGCTTCCCTCATTGACTTTGCTTTTCAGAAGCCCAACTAGGAAGGTTACAAATAGCAATCACATTTTTATTTATTTATTTTTTATTTATTTTTGGATTTATATCCCGCCCTTCTCCCGTAGGACTCAGGGCGGCTGACAATCTATTTAAAATACATACAAAACAATACAAATTTAAAATTAATTAAAAGGAATATTTAAATATTTGTCAAATTTTAAAATATAATTAAAACCCCCCTAAAAATTACCCTAGGCCAGTCCTGCAANGAAAGGAAGGGAGATCAGGGATAACCCTGATCTCTGGGGGCAGTTCATTCCAGAGGGTGGGAGCTCCCACAGAGAAGGCCCTCCCCCTTGGGGTCGCCAGCCGGCACTGTCTGGCTGACGGCACCCTGAGGAGACCCACTCTATGGGAGCGTACCGGTCGATGGGAGGTACTCTGCGGCAGGAGGCGGTCTCGAAGATGATCCCAGAACAGTACAACTGTCATAAACGCCAGTTGTCAAGCACCAAAATTTTGATCATGTGACTGGGGGAATGCTGCAACTTTATTTTTTATTCTACTGCGCTGAAAAAACTTGAAAGTATTTGCTTCTCTTTCTTTTTTCCCTTTATCCTGCACTTCTCTTTTCCCCTCCCCATTTCCTTACTTTTCATTTTTATTTTATATTATGATAATTTAAATAAAAATTATAACTTCCTAATAAACTCTAGTGATAAAACCTGTTTGCGGTCCAAATGATGCTCAGAAAAGAGTCTATCTAAATCCCTTGAACCTGGGACATCCCAGTTAAATAAACTACCTGGTACTAGTTGGTTTATAAAAACTATTATGCATGTACATATATGTGAAAAATAACACTTATATACTAAGTTTGATTATAATAAAATGCTCATTTTTTATTTAGCAAATTAACTCTTTCCATCCCCAAATTACATCCACAGAGGCCTGTCTTCCTCATTTTCCTTTCTCTGCATTGCCAACATTGCAAAATAGACCTTGCAAAAAAGATTTTTTTCTCCCTGCTGGCAATACAGAAGCACCATTTTAGTTTTCAATTGAAAATGTTTGGAAATGGACATGGCAGGAAAG